AAAGCTTTTAAATGCTTTTAAGGTTGCCAGAAGCCTTTAATAGCAATGCTTTTGCGAACTATAAAGACACAAATGGTTTGTTATAAAGACACAAATGGTTTGTTATAAAGACACAAATGGTTTGTTATAAAGACACAAATGGTTTGTATTTAGACACATAATAGAATAATGTGTTTAAATACACATAAAAAACATAGTGTCTTTTATATGAAAAACGGATTAGTTGTGAAAGATAATGCATTAATGAACGCCAGTTATAACCTTGAAGTAACTGAACAGCGTTTAATACTTTTGGCAATCATTAATGCAAGAGAAACAGGAGCAGGGATTACCTCTGACAGCAAGTTAGAAATCCATGCCAGTAATTATTCAAAACAGTTTAATGTCACAAAAGAAGCAGCCTACAAAGCACTTAAGAGTGCAGTAAACAATTTATTTGAACGCCAATTTTCTTTCCAAGAAGAAACCAAAAGGGGGATTGGTACTGTTCGTTCTCGCTGGGTAAGTCGTATCAAATATATTGATGACTCTGCAACACTAGAAATTACTTTTGCGCCTGACGTTGTTCCCTTAATAACAAGACTAGAGCAGCACTTCACAAGCTATCAAATAATCCAAGTAGCACAACTTACAGGGAAATACGCTATCCGCTTGTATGAGCTACTGATCGCATGGCGTGAAGTTGGCAAAGTTCCACAAATTAGACTTTCAGATTTTAGGGAAAGACTCGGAGTTGAAGTTGATGAATACAAAGCAATGAATCACTTTAAAAGTCGTGTGCTAGAACCCTCGATTAAGCAAATCAACGAGCATACAGATATTATAGTGACGTATGAACAACATAAAAAAGGGCGGACAATTACAGGCTTTTCATTCAGATTTAAGCAGAAGCAGCAAGCAAAAAAAATAGAAGCTAATAGAGATCCGGATACAGCCGATCTATTCACAAAAATGACCGATGCACAACGACATATGTTTTCTCACAAACTGTCTGAGATGCCCGAAATGTCGAGATATTCCCAAGGTACAGAGAGCTATCAACAATTTGCCATTCGTATTGCTGAAATGCTTTTACAACCTGAGAAATTTAGAGAGTTATATCCTCTTTTAGAAAAAGCAGGATTTAAGTAATGGTCGAAAAAGAAATAACAAAATTTGAGAAAGAAATTTTGCTCCAAGAAAAAATTGAGCAGCTTGAAAATGAACTCAAAGAATTTTCTGATCTTCAAAAAAAAGTGTATAGCGATCGACTTCAAAAAAGTATCGTGGGTTTAGAAAATAGAATTCAACGAATCAAAAAAATGCTTTATACAACCTAAAAAGTTGTCAGGGTTTTACAGCTTTTCTAATAAAAAAGGCGCAGATTAGTATCCACGCCTTTCAATTTATATAGTCTTAAATATTACGAGACATTAGTCATCGTAGTGGTATCTGCATGAAGCAATATGCAAAACACCCTTCTCATACATATATACAAGACGGTGTTCTTTCGTGATACGTCGAGAAATAAAACCGGAGAGATTTTCTTTTAGAGGTTCAGGTTTCCCTGTGCCAGAAAATGGCGTTTTCAATGATTCGTTAATCAGATCATTTACTTTGCTAAAAATTTCAGGAGAGGTTTTCAACCAATATTGGTAGTCATCCCAAGCATGGTCATCCCAGCTTAGAGCTACATTTTCTTGCGCTTGTTTCTTGTTACGTTGCTTCTGTTTGGCAGTCATTTTCTATCAGATTCCTTTTTGTGGTCTGACCTGCCTTAATTCGAGCGACGGATTCTAATAATCTGTTTGCATTCTTCTTTGAGCTCAACAAGTATATCGTTTCCTTCATACCGTTAAAATCATCCAATGACATTACAACTACAGGATTACCTCGCTGTCTAGTTATCACAGTTGGTTCGTGATCTCGACAAACGTCTTCCATTACCTCCTTAAAGCAAGCCCGAGCTTGGCTAAAGTTAAGTATTTGCATTTTGTTTTCCTTCCCTATAAACAGGGATGATAAGTTGTTAAAACTAAAAATCGTTCTAGATGTTCTTCTAGGGATAAATTGTTAAAACCATATGTGCACACCATTT